TTTTGAGGGAAATGACTCAGTTGAAACTTACTGATGAATCGTATAAAAAAAAATGTAGTATTATTTCCTCGTTAGGGTAAATTTTCTCTATGTGAATCCGACTCAGAGGCAAAGTTAAATGCAATTTCTAATCCTGATCGTAACGAAGAGGTGGAGTTATGCCCTGATAACAAATCACTTACCATTTCACAAATGAGTTTCCGCCGGCTCAAATTTTAGAACTTACAAATAAGATGAAAGTGGAGCTGTATTAAGCAGGGTTTCGTTAATTTGTTTTCCTTTTTGGTTTTCTTTCATTCCGTTCTCCTTTATTTTTCTCTCTTTCATTCTTTTTCATTTCCTTCTTTTTCATTCTGTTTCATTATTTATTTCCACTCTTTCTTTTCTACCTAATTTATTTTAACTTTATTTTTATTTATTTTTTTCTTTCTTTTTGTCATTCGTTTGTTCATCCTTTCCTTCTCTTTTTCCTCTATGTTTTTTCATTTTTTCCCTTTTCTTTCTTTCTTTCTTTCTTTCTTTCTTTCATTCTTCCTTTCTTTCTTTCTTTCTTTCTGTTTTCTTTCTTTTATCTATGTCTTTCATTATGTTTTTCTTTCTTTCATTCTTTCTTTTCATTATCTTCTTCCTTTGTCTAGGCCATTCGTTAAGATTTTCTCTATTTATACTTATTTCATCTCTACTCTAGTTCTTTCTTATTTTCTTCTGTCTTTTTTCTCTATATTTTTTATATATATCTTTCTTTCTGTCCATCTTTCTTTTCATTATTCTCTTTGTCTATTTCTTTCATTGGGTTTGTCTTTCATTTTGCTTATAACTTTCATTCTTTCTTTTTTTCTTCCTGTTTCTATATTTTCTCTGTTTTTTTTGTTTATTTCCATCTTTCTTTTTTCTTTCTTTCTACTTATTATCTTCTTTCTTTGTTTATTACTTTCATTGAGTATTTCTTTCTTTTCACTTATTTCTTAATTCATCTTTCATTCTTTTTTTATTTTACGCTCTTTTTTCCTTCAATCTAAACTCATTACCGTTCTTCTTACTCATCTTTCTTTTATTCTTTTCTTCTCTCTCTTTTTCTCTTTATTTATTTTTTTCTTCTATCGCTTATTCTCGTCTTATTTATTTCCGTTTCCCAGCTTCATTTTCTTAATTACCATCTCCATTTTTCATTCTTTATTTTACACGTCGACAGAAAAGTTTTTGATTTCCGAATTTTATAGCGACTATCAAATATTGCTATTATTACGAAAATGATCTCATTGTTATGAATAAAATTCTTCAAAAAGAAATGGAAAATAGTCGCTTTCGTTAATGCAAAAGCGACGAAAAGCTACATATGCTGGCAAAAGTATATGCGATTACTTACACATTTCTTATGCTCAACCATCTAATTCAACGACAATAACATTATCCTTAATTGAATTTTATTCATAACCATGCTCTAGATTTATTCCATTCAATTTCGCTTTTTAACACTAAATTGTACACATGCAATATTCCGACTATTAAGAGAAGCATACGTCTTCTCGCACTATTTATTCAACTTTTAAGGTGAAGCAATCCTGAAAGATTTAAAAATTATCTTGCATTCATTAGCGATGCGAAACCAAATTCCGAAGGCGCTTTAAGATACCGATGAATGTCTTCAAAAAAGATTTTCAATATGTTATGAAATAAGGAAACTTCGTAAGAAAAATGGTAAAGAATTCTGAACTGCTATGCAATATACGTCCTTCTCTATGGGAGAGAATACTAAACATTTCCTCATAAAGGAAAAAGGGACTTGAAGCAAGAGAAATGTGGTTGGGAAATGAGACTAACGATTTTGAATACTTAAACGTCACGTAAATATATTTATGGACACCTCCAGACAGAAATCATCTGAGCGCGCTGGATTATCGAACCCTTAAGTGTTTCTAAGTTGGCTCCCACAAGCAATGGTATGCGCTGATTTATCTAATTATTTGAACAATTCGCGATCATTTGGCTGTGATACCTGCTCCTATATACCCTTTAAAGATCGGGTATACCGATGGGTGCATTGGACTACAGATATACTTTTTGCTGGATTTCTGAAATAATGTCTGAAATACAGATCTTGACCAGTGCAAACACTAATAAGCGTAAAACGTCAGCACAAAGACAGACCGTCCCTTTAATGGAACTATCATTTTTTGAGGTGGCTAGTATTGACCTTCGTAATATTTACGACATCAAAATATTCTAAAATCTAAATTCAGTATGAGGAAATATTCTTAGCTAGAGCATTTGAGCAATATTATTCCTACCTATATTAAATCAAATGCCTATCAGGTACTTTGATCTGCGTAGAGTTGATATGTTGTGACACCAATATATAATATTGTTCAGCCAAAGAGATACCAAAGTAAGTTTCTGTCACCTTAGAACGTCAAAGGATCTAGAACTCTGAAGTGTTGACAAAGAAGATGTTCTCAAATACATCAAAGTTCTTAATCGAGCCTGTAATTAATTCTGGGAATGTAAGAACATATACAAAAAATGAATGCAGTTGAACTCAGATTATCCACACACATGGCAAACGAGTAATAGGAATATATATATATATATATATATATATATATATATATATATATATAAACGCGCGGGCTACGAAGGGAGATAGACAAAACTGGCAAAAAGAAGAAAGAACATTGAAAGTGTTGTGGATCCCGGATTGAAATCCGGTGTCAATAGATAACAAACGCCACGAATTAATATATGAAAATAATGTATTAACGTAATAATACAAACTGGTAAAGCAGGTTAGTAGTTCCAGGAATACGGGTTAGTAGCAATATATATATATATATATATATACAGTCTTTGGTATGGAAGTATCGCTGTATGACTTCTTACTGAGTCTATGTGCTCGCTCACTGTGACTCCTACAACGCCGTTACCTCACCCTCACTCTTCCGGTTACCTACAACCTTTTACTCTGGACTCGCCCTTGCTCCCGGGTCTTCACGTAGCCGTAGTATATGTATATATTGGGTGAGTCCATTTGTGTAAAAAGGGGAGAACCCCTCAACACACACACAAAAAATACCCAAAACCACATACCCTTCATTTGTTCGACGTAATACAGAGTGACCCCAAAAACGGGAACTATTTAACAATCCAATAAAACCAAGCGTAATGGAAGAAAAATATTTTATTCATAGTAATTGAAACCTTAAAGTATGCCATTTAAGAAACAATGATGGAATTTTCATTTTTTAAAAATTACGTCCTGTAGATGGCGTCCTCCTATACGAATGCATTCTTGAAATCTGCTGTTGCGATTCCTCATTGACTGCTGCAACATCTCAGCTGGGATACTGTGAATTTCATCTTGAATTCTAAATGGCGAAATGTTTACTTGCTCAAAGTCACTTGCTCATGTCTGGCAATACGCACTTCAAAAATTCCCCCTTTTTGGGGTCACCCTGTATTTGATGGATCCCAGCCGGATTTTTTTTTCTTACATATGAAATATTTACTCTTGTATTTTGATCTCACGTTACTAATGCAACATTACATATCTACATAGTTCGCTACTGGCTTAAATTAAATAAACAAATAAAATACATAATAATCTAGAAAAAAGAAATTCCCACGTGTGGTATTTTCTGCAGTATATATGACGTGACGGAAGATGGAAATTATTTAAATGCGGTATTGTAATTCGAATCCGATGGTCAAGAACGTATATTCAATGTGTTATCACGAAAACGAATGTCTTCAACATGAAGTCGTTATCAAATAGTAAATTTCCCAAAGGTTTTACTGATGAACGGAGTTGGGCCGATCGAAACTTTGGAGATATTTTCATTTGCCAGATGAATGTCACGTCCGAAAAGAATATATACAATATATTCTCACACGCCCTTTCCTATGTTCAGACTAGGATACGATTCTGCGGATATTTTTTCTTCTTTTAAGCGTCGTCACATATTACTGCCATATAATTGGAATCGCCTTTGTATTTCAATATTACCATAACGAGAAGATGTGAAAAGGTGTTTGGATTCAGGTTTTTAATATTACTGAAGCGAAAGGAACTAAGTAGAAAGAAAGAAAGAAAGAAAGAAAGAAAGAAAGAAAGAAAGTAAAAAATAAATAAAAAAGAAAAAAGAAAAAAAGAATGAAGGAAAACCAGTAGGAAGGGAAAGATAAGCAATCCGAAACATTGAAAAAAAAAAGAGAGATATGAAAATGAAGAAAAATATAATAGTTGAAAGAGAAAGTAAGAATGAAACAGAATAAACCAAAAAGGCAATAAATAAAAATAATAAAACAATTTTAAAAATGAAAAAGAAAGAAAGAATAAAAGAAGGAAAAAGATAGAAAGAAATAAAATTATAAAATATTAAAAAAGAATAAAGAAAACAGATTTTAGAAAATTAAAGAAATAAAGACACGAAAGATGTAGAAAAATAAAAAAGAACATATAAAAAAGAAAAAAGTAGTAGAGAAAGAAAGAAAAATTAATAAAGTATTGAAAGAAAAAAAACGAAAAAAAGAAAGAAAAAAAGAAAGAAAGAAAAATGAAAGAAAGAAAAATTAATAAAGTAGTGAAAGAAAAAAAACGAAAAAAAGAAAGAAAAAAAGAAAGAAAGAAAAATGAAAGAAAGAAAAATTAATAAAGTAGTGAAAGAAAAAAAACGAAAAAAAGAAAGAAAAAAAAGAAAGAAAAAAAAAGAAAGAAAGAAAAAAATGAAAGAAAAAAGAAAAAAAGAAAGAAAAAAAAGAAAGAAAGAAAAAAAAAAAAAAAAAAATAAAAAGAAGAAAAAAAAAAGAAAAAAAAAGAAAAAAAGAAAAGAAAAAAAAATAAAGTAGTGAAAAATTAAAAAAAAAAAAAAAAAAAAAAAAAAAGAAAGAAAAAAAAAAAAGAAAGAAAAAAAATTAATAAAGTAGTGAAAGAAAAAAAACGAAAAAAAGAAAGAAAGAAAAATGAAAGAAAGAAAAACCAATAAAGTATAAAGAGAAAGAAATGGTCAAATAAAAAAAATCTGATGTGAAAGAGAAAATGAAAGAAACAAACAAATGATGAACATTAAAAAAATAATCTTATAAATATTTAATAAATTGTAGTAAGAAAAATAGAAACAAATAATATCATTAAGAAAAAAAACGAAAGAAGAAATAAAATGATGTAAAAATAGAAGGTCTGAACTAGAAAGAATGAGTAAAGTCGAAAATGAAGAAAAAGAAATACAGACAGCGGAAGTCGAATTCATAAGCAAGAAAAAGAAATACAGAAAAAAATAGATAGAAAATAATATTATTACCAGTGTGAACTGGTTAGAAACAACTGGTAAGAACGAAATAAACAAAGAGAGAATTAAATAAATAGATAAATAAATAAATAAATTTAATGTAGAAGGAGAAAAAAACGATAAAACAAATCGAATGAGAAAGAAAAAAAAAAGGACCATCAATTGATAAAAAACCTAAAACTGATCATATATAATTGAAAGAGAAGAAAAGAAGAAAGGAAGAAGAAAAACGAAAAATAGAAAGAATGAAAAAAACAAAAAAAGAAAGGGAGAAGGAAATTGAAGTAAAACATTGAAACCAAAGAACGTCTGAAGTAGAAAGAAAGAGTAAAATAGATAAAGAAAGGAACAAAAATGAAATTAAAACCCCAAGCGGTCGATTTTAAGAAAAAAAAAAAAGAAAAGAAAAGATAGTTAAGAATAAACGCGGGAAGAAAAAAGGCAAAAAAGAAGATGGCAAACAAAGATGCGCAGAGGAAAAAGAAAGGATCTATATGAAAGACCGGAGGAAAGAAGAGGTAAAGAAAATAACTAAAACAATTGTGTTATGCAAAGAAAGAAATAAACGATGAATTTCAGAAAGAAATATAGAAGGAAAGAACGAATGAGGCAGAGTGAAAGTATGAAAGAACAAATTGAGTCTACGTTTAAGTGCATGAAATATTGCAGGTAAGAAGATTTAGAAAGAGAGAAAGGAAACTAAATGAACCTCCTGTACGTGCCTGGGAATATAGTAAATCTATTAACTTGGGACGTGGACGGATTGCCACCATTTTTTCCTCAGAGGAACAAGATCGATTGAATGATTTTAATCAAAGCATAAGAGTAAATTTATCATGTAGCACTACTGTTCGCATTGGAATCATCCTCATTACCATATAGCCGAGACAGTTGTACTTTCTCAGCAGCAATGGTCAGTAGGAGAAATGTGTATTTCCAATGCTGAATGATATATTTAGTAATTCAAACCATTGACTGCTTTCCCGTATTGATTTGTTATAACGAAAAAAAAAAATGTATATGAAAAAAAAAAAATAAATAAGAAAGAAACAAAATCTACATTCATCATTCTTTCCTCCGAGAAACCGAGCAAGGAGATAAAAACCACTAATATGTAAGTGGCTACTGTGGGTGAAAGAAACAAAAAAACAAAATGAATAAGCTATTAAGAAAACAGAAGATAACGTTTGATATTACGTTTAGATTTCTGAAGGTCGTAGTTGGCAGTAGAACAAAAATGGGAGTGCTACAAGCGAGAAGTACGAAAGAAGAAAATATTCGTATAAACCTTACGGTTACAACAACGAATTCATGCAGTACAATGTTGAAACCTAACTGCTTGGTTTGGTTTGCTTTGTTTTATGGCATATCAACCATAAAGAGTTATTTAATGCCAATTATTTCTCTCTCTCTCTCTATATATATATATATATATATGAATATCCATATGAATAGATAGTATTTTTTAACAAAATCACTTTCTAGATCATGTATCATTGTCACTTTTGCAAAGAGGGCCTCTATATGAGAGACAATCACATTGCTTGTATTCTTCTTTCTTCAATAAAAAAATTACGAGCAATAATTATTCTCTACATAGTCGGCATGGTTTGTTTTGTTTTACGGCATATCAACCCCAATGTGTTATTTAATGCCGACAATTTATTTATTGTTGGTAATTTTTTTTCCCTTCAAATATCTATTTCTGGTAATATTTTTTCCTTCAAATAAACAATTTCTGGTAATATTTTTCTTCAACAAACCTATTTCTGGTCATGTTTTTTTCTTCAAAATGTATCCCTAGTAATATTGTTTTTAAATGTATAGCTGGTATTTTTTTTTTAAAAGTGTATAGCTGGTAATTTTTTTTCAAAAGTGTATAGCTGGTAATATTTGTTTTCTCAAAAATATATTGCTGGTAATAATTTTTCCCTTCAAAAATTTATTACTGATAATAATTTTTTTACAAAGTATTTCAGGTATTAAAACCTATTTTTGACTTTCTTGTCCACACTTTAGGAATTAACTATTTACCCATAGTTGGGACCCTAACAGGGGCTGGCACTTCTGGACAGGATGGACCTGGGAACACCAGCAATTACGAGGTGGTTCTACGCTCCTCAAAAGCTCCTGATCAGAGGACTTGCTGTTGGATGCACTTTATCGTCTTACACGGGGCGCGAATGTAGTTTATCGTCATATACAGGGGAGGACCTAACTGCCAATCTAATACTATCCTTAAATTCGTGAAATTTGGGTAAAAAAATGAGAAGAATTACCGTAAAAATACTTTTAGAAATGGAACAGGGAATCTATGTTAGGGCAGTAGAAAAGTTATTGAAGCCGAGATGCCAGGCCAGGATGGATAACGTTGCATAATCTTCTTTTGATTTTGTCAAGAATCTCTCACGTGGTTTCCTGTCTTCATCGATTTTCTTATTATTACAATGTTTTCGCTGTTGTTCCCTCCAGCCTGTATCAGATTTGCAATTTTTTAGCTTTCATGTACTTTCAAACTGAACACATTTTTTACTGTACAATTGTAGACTTATCTCCTTCCAGTGACCATCTCTAGTGATATCTCATTTAAATTTTATTTTAGTACTATCAGTTATAGCTCGCTCCGTTTTCATTAAGTGTGAGTGTACAATAAACAGCTCAGAGACTGAACCCACAATTACTATATCTTCAAATTCGCGATCCACTGCTTTAATAACCTAGGACATTATCCAGTTGACCAATCCTGTGTTTAGAGATTGGGGCCTAAAATATAATCGGACTGCAACTGGAGTAGTGTCAGTGGAGAGCTATGGTCACCAATATCCTCATGGACATGGCACATGGAAGATAAGTAAAGGTTTTGCTTAACTATGTTGTTGAATACATTACATACGATAATCAGCATAAAACGAATGCATTATACGTGAAATGGTAGATGTTAAAAGCTGATATCCCATTTTCTTTTGTCATATAATATTACATTTGTTACGGTTTTTTGGGTATATACCGCCTATAACTAGAAGATTTATTCGGTACAACTGTACAGAATTGCGGCACAAGGCCAAAAAGGGGAGGGGAAAAGGCTGGTCTTCACTAACTATCTTATACCTAGCTAATCTGATTCACGACCCATTCATACATTACAATTTACTCATTCACCACAAGAACTTGTCCATCGCCAATCAATCCTCCAACCACCATAATACTACATCCTCTCCAGGGGGACCTACCAAAAAGCGCCCCAATCCATAAAAATTTGATGATACATAAAATGCTATACATAAAATTCTAATAATGATAGGATGCAAGGGGAGGGAGATGAGCCCAATAATAACTAAAAATCAACACAAAATACAAACTAAACATAACATATGTTAGTAGGGACCGTCCAACCCTCAAAACAGAGAGGCCGCTGTATTCTGCCCAGGGGACAAAATCAAGAAGCACTCTCGCTAAGGGAATGGGAAAAAGGATAAAATATTATACGGACATGGGAAAAGGTAAAGCTGATCAAGTCGAGATGAAAGGGGGACCAAAACAAACTGGGGAGGTTGGGAATCTCGACTTGGACCATAACCAAAGAGCCGCCGGGATACAGGCCAGGAACGACACTTACTCACATTAACTAGGTACACTGAAGCTTGTCTAACCTAACCAAGGGGAGGGTTCCACAGGAAGCCACCCCGATGTGCTATAGGTTGACCTAGTCACTGGACCGGGGAATGGCCTTCAAGGCCAACCGACACACGCGGAGGAAATCCGACTCACCCCGGGGTTTACAACGGCGCTCAACATGCGAGATGGGGGGACTGATGGTAAGGCTAGGGAAGGCGTCCCTAACAATCCCCTCCAGAATCGGATCTCCTCTAGTCAATGCGCGGCGTAGGAAAGCCAACCTAGAGGCACGGATGTGACTCATAAGGTGCGGCATTCCCAGCCCCCCATGACACGGACGTTTGGTGCAGACTCGTCTGTCGACCCTGTTCACGCGTCCCCTCCATATAATGGAGGATAGCGATCGCTCGAGTACCTTCCTACGGTCTTTACAGAGAGGAAGTACGGACAACCGATAAAGAATCATGTATGTCACACACACCTCCGCCCTGCCCTTCACGGACAACCGCCGTCGATTCCAAGTCTGACCGGCAGAATCGACCTTTGCACGTACTTCAGACCAATTCTTCTCCAGCTGGAGGTCGGGCCCAAACCACACTCCAAGAATGCGGACAGGACCGTCCGTCCAACCGAAGCGGCCCGGAAGATCGACCCCTTCCAGGCACATAACCGCAAGCCGGACGACTTGTCGCGGTTTATCTTGGCCCCTGTCACCTTCTCGTACCGATCAAGAGCCTTCTGTACCGCCTCAATGTCGCTGCGGGACGACACGAAAGCAGATACGTCATCGGCGTACGCGGAAACCCTGGCTCGAGACCCTCCAGGCACGGCAATACCACGTAGGGCCGGACTGCCGGTCTCGTCCTTCAGCCGGCGAAGGAGAGGCTCCAACGCCAAAGCATAAAAGAGAGGCGACAGCGGACAACCCTGACGAACCGACCTAGACAGCACGAACGCGTCCGACAACCTTCTGTTCACTTGTACCACAGCACTGGGGGAGCGATACAGGAGGCTAATCCAGCGGCAGAATTTGGGTGCGAATCCACCGGCCTGCAGGACAGTAGCAAGGTAGCGATGGTCAACCCTATCAAATGCCTTGGACTGATCCAAATTGATCAGCGCGGCTTCTTCGTCGTCTTTTACACCCTCTATGATCGTGCGGATCAGATGCAGGTTGCTCTGAATTGTTCGGCCCCTCACAGAACAAGTCTGCTCAGGTCCCAACAGAGACTCGGCAACTGACTGCAAACGCTCCTGCAGGATCTTGGCATTAATCTTTAACTCTGTGTTTAGCAGAGTTATGGGCCTGTAATCATCTAGCTTTCACCTTTGCCCTTTTTCAACAGAGTGATCACGCCCCTGGTAATCCGATTGGGGATGGACCCCGACCGAAACCAGTTGTTGAACACTGCTGTCAAAATCGGAACAAATATGTGCGACAGCCTCAAGTACAATTCATAGGGCAAACCATCCAGACCGGGCGACTTGCCTCTGCCGACCTTCTTCAAAACAACGTAGACTTCGCCCTCCGTGATCTCTCCCTCGCAGCTAGCCACTTCAGTCGGCGAAAGCCGAGAAAAGTCAGCCAAATAGCTGCGAAACTCCTCCTCACGGAGACCAGGCTCCTTGGTAAACCGGTTCCCGAAATGGCGCCGAAACGCCTCGCACATGTCATCAGTGGCCCGAAGAGTATGCCCCTCCGGGGACTTGACTTCACGAATGAAACGATCGCCACCTCGACGGACCTCTTTCCTGCGCAGATCTGCGCCCAAGTTCACAGCTTCGGAAGACATCTTAACTTATGTCTAATTACCTGGCCCATGTACCGCTCGCTATTCAAACGATCCAGGGCCGCCCTAGCTAAGGCTATCTCTAGGGGATCCCCCCCAGCCACTGCCCGGGTGTAACTAGCTTTAAGTGTCTTCACCTTATCAGCTCTATCTAGAGCGAGCCGTTTACTGAAATCAGTGGTGAAAGACATAATCCTAGTCTTAAGGCGCTCCCACCACTTATTCCCGATAACCGCCCCCACTAGCCCCCGCTGCACTAATCTAGTTAGCTGTTCCTGGAAGTCCCGCCTGTCCAGTAAAGACAGATTGAACTTCCAGTAGCCAGCCATTCTAGGCCTATGGTCTAACGCTACACGGGAACAAAAAAGTTTGTGGTCCGAGTAGCCTACCCAGTGGAACGTAGGGCAATCTAGCAGATCTATGTCGGCTCTTCTCACTAACATTCTGTCAAGGTAGCTAACCACCTTGTCAGAAGGCCAACTAAGAGCCCACGTCCACATGTTCCCCCCGGGATGATCGACCCGGTATCTATCGACGAGACCAGAATCGTCGATCAGATCAACCAGGCTACGATCGTCCCTTCTCCCACTAGCACCCCGCCCCCTGTCTAAGTTGGGGTCCAGAATGGCATTCCAGTCCCCCATTAAAACTAGGCGCGTTGAATCAACCAGGAACGGCCCCAACCGCCGAAGAAACGAGACCCGCTCCTCCTGGTCAATTGGCGCATAAACCGCAACGACTCGGAATGAACCACTTTTCACGGCAATATCGGCCACGATCAACCGGCCATCAGCATCGGTATGCACAGTGTCCACCTTCGCATCAAGAGTCCGTTTGACTAGCAAAGAAACTCCTCTGGCAAACCGGTCCCCATATGCTGAATAGACAACAAAGTGCCGATGCGTGTGCTGGAGCACACACGCATCGGCACTGCAAATAAAGTGGGTCTCTTCGATCGCGGCGACATCCACATCCAGGAACAGAAGGTCCCGGAGCAGGCGGGCAGCCTTACCCCGATCCCTTAAGCCCCTCACATTCAGAGTCGCTAACTTGGTTTCCATTTTTTAGGCCTGCAAAGAAAACGAATAAGCGCAAAAACCTAAACACATACGGGACGGAAATCTGCGGGTGAAAGGACCCCGACAGAATGTCCCAGGCTACCAGTGCCTAACTCGGTCGACATTCGACCATCTGGGACTATTCCACCGACGTCCATGGGGAAGGTTAGTTTCGCAGCCCTATATACAGAGGGGTGGAGCACAACGGGGACCCTTCCTGCAGAGAAGTGCGATAATTTTTTAAGATCTGGTGTGCCTGTCTCCAGGATCTTGATGTTTGGAAATGCCTCTTTGCACTCTTCCAAGAAATACCACACCTTCAAGTTCCCCCCCTGTGTCCCTAACACAAGTGGTGACACCCGGGGCCTTGGGGAAATTGCGGGGATCTTCAGTGGTTTTGCCATCCACAGTTGTACATTTGAAGAGCGCTCTTCTGTGTGATGACATGTCTCTTTCCAACTCCTTCCTGTCCACCCTACAAATTAGGTCTGGACCAGGAAAGCACTTCTTCTTCTTTCTTTTTCTCTTATCTGGGAGAGGGGAGGAAGGTGAAGGTGTGGGCAGTGGGGTGGAAGTACCAGGCGGGGTAGCTACAGAAGCTAAGGAGGAGGTTGAAGGGGAGGGTGATGAAACCCAAGAAGGGGAAGAGGAACGACTCTCAGTTTGTGGTTCCGCCTGGTCCTGGGATGCTGGGTGGGATTGGGACCCCGATACTTCTGAGCTTTCCTCCTCCTTACTGCCTTGTTTTAGTGTCTCTTCCTACTTCTTGTTGGAGGCACTAGGAGGAGGCATTTCTTCCACCTCCATCTGCTGCTGCTCCTGCTGTTGAGGTTGCTGCTGTTCTGGCTGCGTCTGCTGTTGTTGCTGCAGCTCCTTTCTCTTTTCTTGTTGCCGGCTCTTTTTGTTGGCCTCTTTGTTGGGACTGGCCGGCTTTGCTTTTTCCGCCAGTGCCGTTGTTCCCGGTCTTCCGAGGCTACTTCCTTTGCCGCTGCAGTCTTCTCCGGGGGTACTTGCTGCTGCTTCTGCTGCTGCTTCTGTTGCTGCTGCTTCTGCTGCTGTTGCTGCTGCTGCTGCGGCTGCTGCTTCTGCTGTTGCTGTTGCTGTTGCTGCTGCTGTTTTTGTTTGGGAGGTACGGTTGCTCCTTTAGCCTTTTTCCTCACCACCTCCGTCCATTCCGTGCTACCCGACTTTTTCCCCTCCTCAGCGGGCACCACTGGGGTGGGAACTGGTGCCTGATTTTCTTTGGAGGCCGGCTTCTTGGTTGGGCACAACTTCGCCAAATGTCCTGCCACCCATCTAGAGAATGAGATATAGAGAAAAGGAAGGAGAAAACATTTCTGGTATTTCTTGTTGTTGTATTGTTTGATTTTCATCGGTTAATCAGGTTTCACGTGCATTCATCTCATTAAACAAATTTTAGCATAATTTATGGTTTTCCGTAATTAAGGAGAGAGTATTTGTCTTTTGGAATTTCCAAGAAAATAAAGGATTCCAAGCCTATCTGAAAAATTATAAATATTTCTTTATGTATGGTGATTTTCTAAGCACATGTTTGACGTGGCACAAGGCCCGAAATATGAAACACCCAATGAGAACTGAACTCATTATTCAGTTAGCATGGTTCTAGCGAGACAAGCTTGCTAATCATTACATCACATCAAGGCTTCCATATTATGTATGTTAGTGTATAATAATTCCAGTTTGTGTATTTGGGATTCAGGTGATAATTTATATTCATAAGTGTGTGTGTGTTCGTGGGTCTAGTAGACATTGCCCTTGTTGGTTTTTCCTATGTTGATTTGGGAACATTTTTACATACATACAGTTTATTTTAGATAAACGTACGTTATATTCTTTAAGAATGGATACAATAAAGGTTGGGGATTTTACGTCAAAGACATTATATTACATCACCAAACATTAGTGCTTATAGTTGGTAATATATTTATTAGTATTATCCCGAAGTACTATTGACAGAAAGAATTGTTTTCTTTTTAAATTAGGGTGGCATTTGTAAAAGCAAATTATTATAGTCTAAGAAACCTGGTCAGAACCTCTCCAGCCATATTTGAATATCGGTCGTGATTGCTGTCGGATTTCAGTTAATTTGACAACTTGTCAAAGTGCACTTGACTGCGCATGTGATAAACAAGCACACTCCTTTGGCATACGCAGCAGGCTGGGAGAAAATCTACAGTGAAACTGTTGGCTCTAGGACAGCCGACATTAAAACTAGGTCCCGTTCAATGTTCTTTGATAAACCATTTTAAAAAAAAATTCTCATACTATGGTAACTACATCCGGCAGCTGCGCTTCTAATCAGAAGATTTTGAGGGTGGGGGGAACCACGGCTTAATTGCTGTTGTTCACTGGTCCACTGTGAGAAGGGATTATAGCATGTGTTAGAGTCCCAGCTATGTGCTGAGTTAACTTTTAAACAGGGGTCAAAACACTATGAAAATATAAAAATAGATTTCTATAGTAAAAATATCAGTAATAGTTTTCTGAAAAAAAATATTACTAGAAATTCAAAAATTAGTTTTTTATCCCTTTCTGTTTTTGGAAAAAAATATTACCATCAAGAAAAAAAGTTAATAGCAATACATTTGATTCTCAAGAAAAACCCCTCTTTATAAAAATACCTCAATGAAACCTGATCTACAAACTGCCATCTTACAAAGAATACATATACTTTTCATACGAACCTATCCTAACAATCTTGTCGGCATTAAATAAACCATTGAGGTTGATATACCGTAAAAAATATAAACCAAACCACACTATGTTTCACCCAATACAAGTTCCAAGAATAGCGCAAAGTAGAAGGTTTATAAATGAAGTCAATATATGTACATAAAAGAAGTAATTAATAAATGCATATCATGAGGACATGCAAGGTCCATAAGTATTGAACAAAAACCTGAATGTATCAAGATAGTAGTGATCGTGGGAACATGTTTTCAAGAAGCAAGGGTTGTTCTTCAAAGTAACAATTCTAAAGAAGAATCTGTCTGAGTGGAACTTCCTCCTTATCAGTGGAATACAAAGGTGGTGGGGATGATGCGATTTTGTGTATGTGACATGGCGAATTCTAGCTGTGAAAGTCTGAACTGGTTATATTAAGGAATACGGTAATGGTAATCGTAATACTAATTGTTTCCTTACAAGGAAACATTTGGAATTCAATTTACCGAGCAGCTTCTACAGTTTTCTGTTAAAATATATAAAATATTTCTCTTAAAACAATTTTCATTAAAATAGCTATCTCAAGTCCATTAATTGTTATTGCCCTTTCCAGTATTGTCGGGGGTTTCCTTCTTAAAATTTTATTTAAAGTAGTGTGGAATGTTAACGTCTTAATTATGTCATTTTCCCTTCGTGTTACATGTACTATCCATCAAGATGAGGTCGAATGTGCTTCCTCTCTGGCGATGCGTGTTTAAACCCAAATATCGGAAGAGACACGTTGTCCTATATGACTGTTCGTCATCCAAAGGGTCACGTAAAAGCTTTTGAGCTCTGTTAAGACAGGTAAGTGTGGATTGGACAAATTCGCTGCAGATATCTTCTGCCAGTTTTAATCTTATCTTTCCCTTGTAAAGACAGAGCATGGCAGTAGAAACAATAAGCTTTTTGGAGCGGTAAAAGAAACCAACAGTTTTACATAATCTGCTGCGATGGATCGACTATAGGAACTCCACTTGATCTCATTCACATCTGAAAATATCCAGACGGCAATGTCAAAGAAAGGTTTTATTCAGATTGTCCCGATAAATGGACGGAATTACTATATGTGTGTTAATCACATGAAGAAGATAAATCCTGGCATACTAAATGACTTATTTAATATTAACGGTATGTTTGAGAATATTACAATGATGAAACAAAACTCACAAGATAGGTGCCTAGTACGGTATGTAGCCCAGTGAGACGACAGGGTTTCGATTACACTGGTGGTCGAAATACATCTCAGGAGATACGTTAAGACATCTCTAATTTTCGGATGCTGCGATGATGCTCCTCAGGCCAGTGCCTCATTCTGCTTGAATAGCCCATTCCTCATGACGTACAGTCTACCAAAGTATGTTTACGTGGTCCGTATAGATTCAAAGAGAACAAATATCACAACATTACGGCACTATGAGGTGCATTTTGGAAACCCGAAATCAATAGTCTCATATGTTCTACACCACAACCAAATCGTTCCATCCAACTGGAGATGTGGCATATCGGAACACTTCAACCCTCTGGGGTCCATTTCACAATGCCAAGAATCGATGGGAGGCACCTTGTCGGGTGTCGTGGTGTAACAGAGAGAACATGGTTGATTTCTAATTCCCATATCCCAAGGAAGTTTAAGAACAATGTGTCGATTTTATGTCTGGTATCATCTGATTTGAATATAGATGTGATTTAAGCAATTGTCTGTTGTGGAGCTAACTCCACTTACTTACTTTCGTGAAACCGCTACTAAGGGACACTCTCTGGACTATAAATACTCTGCGATTCTTTTTCTCATTCTCTTCTTACTTTTTCCGCTCAATCGTCAATATGTAAGTCTCTCGAGGAAAACGTATTTCCCACTGGGAACCATAGAAAACTCACATTCGTAAGAACTTTCATTCACTTCACATCATTTGAAATTTAAATGTTTTCCCACTCTTTTTTTTCCCCACATATAATTGTCTTTGTTACTAGTATAACTTTCTTGTTAATATTTTTATCATTTGTTTGTACGTATATTGTTTCTTGTTGTTTCTATGTATTTTATCATGGCGGACACACATGTATGTCCTCCATTTTTGTTGTGGATATGCCAAGAGACACGTGTTTTTCCCAACTCAAACGCCCGTACATAACGCGCGCAACACTTAGATATTTAGAGATCGACGTAGGGCAACTCGATGTGGTGTAATAGTTTGAAAGCTTGTCTTGCTAGATCAATTACGACAGAGTAGTGAGTTCAATTCTCATTGGGTACCCCATACCTTCGGCCTTGTGCCACATCTAAGCCGGGCTTAGAAAATCACTATTTAGAGATCAACGCTATTGGTCATGTGGAGTACTCGTCACACAATACCCACTTGTCATCTATCAGGTATTCTAGGTAAATGCGTACGTGTTACAGATCATGTTGACGGACAACAAATATGTCAACAATTTCACAACTAGAATGTCCCATCAATCGCCTCGCCAGAGCAGCATAAAGCATTTTTCACGGACTTACCAGATGTCAGAACAAAAGCGTCGTCTAGCTTTTTACATGACCCTAGTTTATAATGACTTTATCAATCGTATTTATATGCTAATATCATAATGTAAAAACAAGATTTAAATAACAAATTTCCAGTAACGTAGAAGATTCATATAACTATTTCCAGAGAACTGCTACTCTTTGGAACGAACATCTGCATTGATGTTTATCTGCACAATACAATCGTCATCTTTACATATCATGTGTCAATCGTTATCTATCATCCCTATCCTCATAATCTTCAATTCTTTCAAACTACTATTACGCTCGTATTCGTGGTATGAGTAGGCATCCTTTTATCTGACGTAGTATTTAATGTTCACAGCCAACAGCCTGCGTTGTTCCACTTCGGGTTTTCTATCTAGATTTCCTTCCATAGCTATTTCCATGTTTGGATACGACCGCAACGTAGAGGACGTTTATAATCAGAGTTTTCCCTCGCCTTCGCCTAAATGGATTACCTTCTTGTCTTGACGCGTTCCAATTGCTCGAAACATCTGGTTTTCAGTCGCCAGAGGCCCGGCTTCGCTACTTCTCTGGTTTGGAGATGTAGTTAGTTGTCAGTGGCTATTTGAGATGCATACCATGTAGGAGCCTGTCCCCACTACCACTCTACCACCCCACTATCGCTACTGCTACTATGACAAATTTGGAACGTATATATAATGTCCATATATTTATATTACATAAATTGCGAGTTTTAGAAGTTCTTAAAAAATGAACGTTTTTTTGTTTTATTTTTATTTAAACAAAAAGCACGAGAAAACAACAAAGAATACAAGACAGTTGAACGTAAATAAAGAAACAGACATAAAGATTTATAATTTTGATTACTGTAGAAAATATTTAACCGAAAAAATATACAAATTTGGATTTAAGACCGAAATACAGGGAGCTTATTAACTTCATAAATATTGCGTATATAACATCAAAATAAAAATGGTATGAAATAGTTGTACATAACTAGTCAAACACAAAATCGAAGAGATTGATATTTTTGGAAAAAAAAAAAGCAAATAGATTAAATGGAAGTATAAATCTGTGTTTACGCATAAATACTCGGATAATGCAAATTCATTAAACTATAACGTACGCGGTCCGTCTATCTGTTTTCCCGACGCGTAAGAAAGCAGCCAAGACACGCGGAAAGAACAGGCACTCGGCGGCAATTCGATTCGTGACCGACGAGACGGTGACTGGACGTCCAAGAATTGCGTGGAGAATAGACCCGTTAGTAGCAAACCGAAAGTGTGGCATGAGCCTGCGAAGGTGACTGCGGTGACGACGGCGGGAGACATTCGACGTCCCGGGGTCTCAACCAGCAGCATTACCACCGCGTTAGACGGGCGTACACGGCGATGTGACGGCGGAGGCGATGAAGAACGTCGCCAACCATGTTTTCCGGTGTCTGTCGCAACGAACGAGGTACTACCCTGACGGAGGCGCGGCAGCGGCGGCATCGCGGATAGAGGTGGACAGATCTTCGCGATACAGGCAATAAAATATTTTATACTTCTTTATTCAAACTACTAAACTAAACTATCAACTCCTATAGATGAACGAGAGTATAAATTGCAAATCTAATAAATATAACTTTATTTAAGTGTTATGAATAATCAAGAGTGGTCATCTCTTGATTTGTTACCCTCCTCTTTGAGAGAGCTATTTCTGTTTAATGGGAATATACATGGAGGCAATTTGCATTATTCGGACTATTGTCCTAATCTTTGTTGGGAGTGTTATCTGCGAAGTGTCGTCCAGCTTTTGAAGTTTTTCCTGATGTTATATGGACCACATATCCTTTGTATTTTCTCTGATAACCCCTTCACTTGTATCCCGAGTAAGACCCTCCTATGGAGGAGAACGTGACTAAAGACTGCGTGTACGCTATCCCGTGCAGTTGCGGAAAGAAATATAAAGGGGAGAGAGCTCGCCCTTCTTAAGGTAAGGCTTCAAGGACACCAGAAAGCTGTAACAAGAGGGAAAGTGAAAACATCAAGCATGGCTGACCACATATCGAGAGAAAAGGGAGATCACCACCCTCTATGGGATCAGGTTGAAATCATAGACAAAACATCATTGGAAAATTCGTAAACTTAAGGAATCACCACATATGCTAGGCCACAAAAATCTCCTGAGCTGAACAAGCATAGGAATGAATACAATATGAGACCCGATAATAAGGAGTGCCAGAGAAAAGCAATATTATCAAAGAAAATTGCAATATGGGATCTTGTAAAAAAAAACCCAAAAAGAACTAGGAATGATAACAGCAAAAATTGCAATATGAGCACTGGTAAAAATAGCTGCTGAAAAAATTAAATTTATAAGTCCCATAAATTCATACACAGATGTCTTTAAGCACACATGACACAGTGGATAAAGGCCTTGGTTAAATCCAGTGACACGATCCAAAAAGTTGTGAGATCAATACCTGGTTAAGGTGAAGAAATTGGAGAGGTGAAGATAACTGATAACTGACATCTATTAGACATGGCACGTGAAACTAGAACAGTCTAACCCAGCGAGCGAAATAAAGGGTTCAGTTCGACGTTCAAAACAACTGAAAAAGGCCGGAGCGTACATCGGCCGAAATGTGATAAGTATGGCAACAAAGATGAGAACAATAGCCCTAATAATGTAAATTGTGTGCATAATACCCCATCTTGGAAATATAGACAGGTTATAAATGGACACTATATGCAAACAAAGCTTTCTTTGAATAAAGGTTTCCAAAAGCCTACTCTTGCGTACTTTTGTCATTACAGTAAGCAACATAGAGAAATTAAAAATAAGAAAAACGGTCATAAGGTTATTGTACAAAAACAAGTATATATTATTACTGAAAGAAATATATTTTATAATAAATTTTTAAGGGGAGGAGGTGGTTTTAAGTGTAGAAAAATAATATCGTCATCTTATAGGAAAAAAGTAAACTCTCTTTGATTTCTCTCGATTCGTTATTCTGTCAATAATATAAATTTAACATAGAAAAAAGTTCACAGATCTTAAAATGTTTATTGTAACAAGAAAAGTAGACATGCATCTTATTCCATATGACTTACAGTAACAACAACAAAAATATAATACCAATTTACTCATATTTACTCACTCAGGTTTTTATTAAAATAGATATCTTAAATATTCTTAGAATATATGTTGCACATTTAAAAATTCGGAGTTTCTTCTTTTCTTCTTCTTCTTCGCATTTATTGATTTTCTTCTTCTTTGTTCTCTTTTCTTATTTTTTTGATTTTATAATACTGCTTCTTCTTAATTCTCTTTTTTCTTGTCTTTTAATTATTAATTTCATGACATTGCTTCTTTTTCTAATACTGTAATGGGACAGTTAATGAGACAATTTCTAACATAGGATTGTAATATTTAATTTAATCATAAATTACTGAGTTAATACTCTCATTTAAAAAGATTAACAAAAATTATCTCTATCGAATGACTTTAATATTTTGAAATGTTAGCTGTCTGTGCTAACAATCTATTTTCCAACTTTTCTCATTTTAGGAACAAATTTATTTCCTCCATTTGCAATGTCCTTTAGACTAATTTGGAAATGAATCGCTTTACTTATAAGACGTAAATGAAACAACGTGATGCCCTTTGCAAATATGTTTCATTTCCGTCTACAAACTTTATAAGTTAGAACGAATAACTTTTCGCAAGTTATATTACATATAAATCACTTTACTTGTAAGCTGTAAATGAAATAATTTGATGGCATTTACAAATATGCTTCATTTCCGTCAACAAACTTTATAAGTTAAAATAAATAACTTTTCTCAAGTTACATTAAACTTAGTTTCGGAATTTTTCCAAAACCTTTAAAACACACTTTTAACAAAGTTACTCAATACATCCTACTACCTTCATGGTCAATTAAAAATTGATAGACCATTTGTCTAAAAATTACCTTAAATTTTATAGTTTATTTTTCTTATCTGATATGAAGAATATATAGAATACGATTTGAATATTTCGACACAATGAGTTGATAAGTATTTACGAAGTAAATATTTTAATCGGTGAACTCGTATGATTTACCACGGATACAGAATGTGTAACCTCCATCTTATTCGAGAACAATCATCTGGCTAAAAATCATTCTAACTTAACTTAAATAAATATTTTACTTGGTAAACTCGTATGATTTACCACTGATCCAGAAATTTTAACAAAAGCTATCTAAATGCGTAAACGCACTAGAATTTACCTTATTTCCAGGAAGCTTTAGTGAAATAATTGCTCAACTAATGAACTAGAGTAACAATTTTGAAACAAATTTTTAAACGTTGAAATAACCGACCTAATTCAAAGTTTTGTAACATACCACTCCTCAGGGACAATTAAATATGTTAAAATTCTAATAAATAACATGTATTGTCTACATAAGCAACGCTCATCATAGACTCAAAATATTTGAAAATTCAAATATATTATTTATTCCTTTAAAAAAGACAAAATATTTAAAAACCCATGCTAACCGTTTTTATATAGAATATTAATAATATTAATAATTATAATATATAATAATATAATAAATAATCTATTAATAATTCAATATATTTATCTGAGGTGACTAGAGGTATATCTGTAAAGCATTTAATTCGGTCCAAAGATAAATCATTTAGAGGTAACAAGATTGTGTAGCCTGAGTATTGCATATCGAAGAGAGATGTGTGATGTGGAATGTACATCTTAAAACCAGGCTCCATCATTCACTGCAATTGCTAAATGTAAACATTCCGGCTCACTTTCCATCTTTTTAAAATGTAATCTCTCTTAATTATATTCTTACATTTTAAGCCCATCTGAGTATATTACAAGGACAAATAAAACAGGGGAATAGAGTTAGAAACATTCTGTTTTACAGCTTTTAAGTTAATCCTCTCTGTCGCGAATATCATATATTGCCCGGAGTAATAGGTTTTCTTGTTTCTTAATTTAATACTGGCTGAAAATATTCTATCTGGACCGATTTCGTAATTTAATTATTAACAACAGCTTTTACAACTCGGACTTTTTATATTAGAAGATTACGCTAACATGTCAAATACGCTGGGATTTTGCTCATTATGGTATCGGATCACATATATCCAGGCATAGTGTTATTTTAATTCGATTTGTAACTCGACATTTGTACAGAGGCGGGAACGCCAAACAAAAACGTCTGCCATGAGGCCTGTCAACATTCAGTCATATTTAAATCGAATGAGGGCACTTCAACGCAGTGTTCTCTTGCTAGAACAATTAAGAATGAATAATGAGTTCGCTTTTCACTGTGTGCCCTATACATTCGGCCATGTGCCCTATCTAAGCTACGCTTAAAAATCACCATATTTTAATCGTACGAAGGTGGACTAAGACGCTCATCGGCTTACTATGAAGGATTTATGCATTAATTCCAGCTCATGAGTAATTACTTGATTACCTTCTAGGTAAACTGATACTTGACCCTTAAAAAAAGACTGTTCAACCTACTGGTCAAAAATGGCATCAAAATCAGATAAGACGTCATTACCACGGCGATACTTTTTCCCATCGAAGAATTATTATATGTTGAGTATAAATTATAGTCAATCAGGAGAATATGATTCAAATTCACGCAGAGCAGCCACTGAAACCAAGGACAAGATTTTTTGGAGCGTTGTCCTGATGAAATGATTACTTTCCTCAAGTTTTCTTGGCGCATCGGCTTGATAGATTTTCGAAACTGCGTCTGCAATTTCACATAGTACTTGTCTTTGCTGGCGCTTTTGAAGATAATCAATAAGCAAAATGCCTTTTGCATCCCAGCACCCCGAGGCCATCACATTTCCTGCAGATGAAACTACCTTGGACAACTTTGGCACAAGTTAGGAAAAGTGTTTCCACTGTATGGACAGTACCTTTGTATCTGGCTCAAACTGATGAACCCAACTAACTTAGGAAACTCCATCAAACACTGTCAGATCTGTACGTGATGTGATTTTGATTAGGTATCACAATCCCTGACACCCATCGATCAGAAGTTCATTTGCAGCATATTCTCAACTCTCTCACTGGATATGCTAATGTAGCAAAGAAAAAATATTTACACTTTAACTCGCAACCAATGCCTGCAATCAGTTTCTTTTCACGCACTGTCGTGACACGTATCGCCAGTTAAAAAACATCAATCAACCGTCTTATCTGTCGCCATATTTTTCCAGTTCTTTTTTATATATCATTGAAAGCCACAATTTGCATATTCGCAAAGATAATCTCACAAGACTGTATCTTACTACGGGATTTATCTATTTTAAATGTCTAACCCGCGAAACTGCCATTTCTTTCCTCTTTAGAGAGTTTAAACGCGAGGCACGTTCGAATATTTTTCGCGCTGGAGGTAAGATATTTTATTCTTGATTTTATTCTAGCGTTGCAAAAAATACATGCAACCAGGTGTGAGGAAGCAGAACAATTC